AAAAAAGACAAACTAGAGCTACAAGAAAAGACGATCAAACAAATTAATTAATATTGAACAAAATGAGACCACTCACTAGTACTATAAGAGGTTAAAAATTTGGAAAAAACAAAGAAAGATGAAACATTTGACATTCCCAGTCCCTAACGGTAGTATCTTTTCTAAACCGACTCATAAGTATCTACACACTCGGTATACTTTCCTAACGAATGTCGTGCTTCATCTTTTATAAAATGAAGTAAGAAACAAATGTTGTTACTACAGCATTACTTTTTGATTCATTAATCGTCTAATTTCAGTTGACTCGACTTCAGTTGAACGAGCCGAATTGTATGTTTTCGTCTTTCCTTCTTTTCTCCTCTTCATTCCTTGTTTTCCTATCGTCTTCCTTCTTAAGCTCTACCTGGATGATTTTTGTTTTTAATGTTACTTTCTCTGTGTTCGTATCACTTAGTTTCTTTTCCAAAGCAGGACAACGCAAACATATTCGGCTCTCTGTATATAAAGAATATCCAGATTATCATCTTTCAAATTGCTAATATTAAATCATTATGATACCAATGAGGACCTGGCTGCAAAAACTTGAAGTATTCGTATTTCTCCGAAAACCCAACCAAAAGAAAATCCTTGCCGAATCAAAGAGATGGTATAAGGCTATTAGCAATATAAATGCGCTAATTTTCAGCCCAACTTTAACCAAAACTTCAAAAAACATGCATTCTGACTTCTTCAGAAAAGACAACAACTAAAAGAACTTTACTAATGAAAATCATGATAGACTGTAAAACAATTGACTGAACTGAGCAAAAAAAAATAACATTTACTATCAAAATAGTAATATCAAAATATTCGGCAAGAACTAGACATCTTGTCATAATTTGTATGCAAAATCTCACAGTGGTGATAATGAGGTTCCTTAACCGATTCATTAATATATTCATTTGATATGATTTTTACAGGTAATCACATGATTTCGAGTGCAATTTGGAATCGATAAGCACGAGTAAATTTTTTCAACGACTAACTAAATTGTGGTCTTTGAAAAAATTAACAAGTGCTTAGTTATTTCAAATTACACAAGAAAAATCAAGTGATTACGTATTAATAATATTCATGAGAAAATACGAGATAGCCTATCATAATTATGCAGAAGCAAAGCGCGCACATCAAGTGCAAAAATAATTTATTCAAACCTGCAAGTGACACTGTGCGTTCGGTCAAAACAACCGCGTACGATCAAAACAATAATGTACAATGATATTTTTACATCTTTAAGGCGCAAAAAAGTTCAAATTCCAGCTAAACAGTACAAGGAATTGTTTAGTCTGTGCCCGAATCACTTTCGATGAAATGGAATCGTCGTTTGCGAGGTTTAACCATGTTTGTTTTTAGTTTTGGTGGTATAGAATTGCTCGAGTAAAGTGATAAGCTGGGTCGGCTCGTAATTTTCTATTTCCTTGGCAGTTCACCTCTCTAAACACCACTTTTTCCAAACCGACAACCTAAAAGCAGTGCTTTCTACAGTGTTTTCGTTGTTAGATCCGTTTTTCAACTGTTGTATTGTTGTTGCGGTGGCGAAAGAAAACCTACTTAAAACTCCGATCATTGTTTAGGTGGCAAATTTTCAGCATATCTAAATGTTGCGACATCCAAGGCGCGCATTTGATTGGCTATCTGTGAGTTTCTTTGATTATTGACCAACAGAATGTCTGGTTTGTTACTTTCTATGCACTGAATTAACCCTCTTGTGCATTGAATTACCTGAAAAATGCATCTATCTTAACCAATAAGAACTGACTAATTTTTTCATGTATATTGTTAATATTAAAACAATGGATAGCGTTAAAGGCGCGCTTTAATTGGCTCCTTGCTCGTTATCTGACCGCTTACTTTAATGAAAAGAACCCATTTGAGCGAGTTATCCATTTCGAGGTTTTCTACGTACATAAGAAAATCCCTTTTGGGCCGCCTGTGTGGCGAGTAACAAGAGACGTTATGAGTGTCTCATGATACTCGGTCATTTTGAAACCCGCGATGGGCTTGGGGGAGGTTTACGGACTTATACGACACAGTACCTTCCAGGAGGAAGGCACAGCAGGCACAGTGAAAACCGCGATCTACATCTAAAATTAAGCCTCCTTGACAAGGCCACGAAGGCTTTCGTTGGAAGATCTTTTCTACATAGGTGTTCAGTTTTTCGTTACGAAAGTAAATAGATCTAGATAAACCTGGTATTGAGAGATTTACAAGAGGAGATTACGTACCATGCAGTTTATCGACGACGTCTTTCCTTTCTATCTTTTCAAGAGCATTTATAAGGATTCCCATTGTTGCTTCTTTTCCTTTTTTTTGCATCCACTTTTGAAGCACTTTCCATGCTCTTTCAGGGCTTTCTTTGATATCAGTATCAATATTATCCAAAAACGCTGATTCAAGCCCTAAGGCTACACCCAGGTGTCTCCAGTCTCTGCCTACTTCACTACATATTGACCATGCGAGTTTTTCAGCGACAGGAGCCTGTTCAAATGGTGTATCACCAGAGGTGGCTGCAAAACAAGTAAACATCAGTTGAAAAATTGTGACTTAAAAAGAGCCGCAATGATTGTAACTCCCTGTTCCATATTTAATACTATCAAGTAACGACTTGGAAGGGACAATGAGTAAAACTGATACCGTTTTATGAAATTATGAACATAAAAACCTTCATTGCTGTCTTCTGAATCAGCCATTCGTCCAAGAGAATCAGTTTTGAATCCCGCTAATCCAGGTTCTGACTTGGCTAAATAAGCTAAAGGAAAGAAAGAAAAAAACACCCCTGTAAGGATTGCAGTGAATCAACGATCAGGCCTTTTCCTCTTTCGGAGAACGCATTAAAAAATTACTATCCTACTCCAGAAAAAGGTGGTACGAATTATTCAAGAAGTACTTTTCCCGCTCATGCTGAACCTATATGTAAGCAGTTGAAAATTCTTAATCTAAACAATATATATCGATTCCAATTAGGAAGATTGTGTTTTTGTTTAAGATAGGCCGTCTTCCAGATGCTCTTAAAAGATTATTTTCGTTTTCGAGTAGCATTCATAGCTATTACACCAGACGATGCAGTTTCTCTTAGGTACCACCTTGCAGAACAAATATTAGACGGTTTGTGCTATGTCTCCAAGGACCTAAAGTTTTCAATTTTCTGAATATAGAAATCCAAAATGTTACCGTAAAGTTCCGATAGTAGCGACGCCCCGAAAGTAGCCCCTCCCCCCCCGAAATTAACGTCAATTTTTTGTGGCCGCAAGTAAATCCCGAAAGTAGCGACCCCCCGAAAGTAGCGACTCCCCCGAAAGCAGTGGCCCCCCCCCCCCTCGAAAGTAACGAGACCAAGTTTTTTTATTTGTATACCGTCTACCTTTAGTTTCTCAATCAATAGTCAAAATTTTAGTGTACAATAATATGTTTGTGCAGTGTCACAAATTGTTCACGATAAGGCACTTTAATTTACAACAAGGGGAAGCTTTATGCCACCATTCGTCCTTGACATCAGTTCACTGATGTATCAATGTAAGAACTAAACCGGTATAATTTCGTATTAACAACAAGAACGTTTCTTCAAATTGAAATTGAAAACTCTATATACTTTTTCGTCGATCAACATGCACATTTCTTTCAATTAAATGACACTGAGATACCGGTACGGGGAACAGACTAAAACGCAGCGGTGCGTCATGCAGTACAATCGAAGCAGTTTAGCTTTCCTCTTCTGAGTCAGTGAAGAACTCGATCTCCTCTATATCGGCTGATTTGCCCACGCGGTAGTCCGGTAAAACATCCATATTTATTTCAATGTCCCTGCTACCGGAAATGGGTAGTGAAATTCCGCATTCCACAAATGAACGAATAGCTGTGTCTTACAGCCGGCGCGAGGTCTCTTGCCATGCCGTACCCACCCATTTCGTGAAAAGCACACTCCGATTACCAGAAGTCACTTTTTCCGTCATAAAGCGCTCTGGATTTGCGGAAAGTGTTAGTCTATCAACACTTTTCTTATGTCAACCAACACGCAGCATGTGACTTTAAAATCTTCTAAAATGAGCGATAATGATAATAAACAAACAAATTATAGACTGATGAATGTATTGTGCTGTTCAAAAGAGGTATTTGCTGATTTCAGCAAATCTCCAAAGTAATAAACGACCGAAGGAAGAAAGAAACGCTACGATTTTCCCATCAACATTTCGCCTATAGGCATCTCTCTAAACATGAAATTTTCCATTCCTACAAAAACTCTCGAAAAATGTTCACATTTTTTAGCTTCCTTGAAAAATTATCTTGTATAAAGAGCTATAAAATGTAACTTTATTTGCTCAAGTGACGGCCTAGAGCCAGAATTGCGTTTCGTAAAGATTAATCTGATTACTCCAAGACTATACATGAATTATAGCATAATGTGGAGAGTATCTACGCAATGAAGGGTTCTAGCTGCTATCTCTTGAGGCCTGAGCAGCGGTGCTGTACAAATCCACAAACTAACTGCCTCGTAAAACTTTAACCATCCTTGGGGCGGCTGGATTCAAGGCATCATGCTAAATATCGTTACTTTACCTGGCTCGGTAGATCCCACAGAAATAGACTTTGCGACTGTAGCTGGCAAGGCTTGAATTTCGCTCTTGTCCTCCGCTCCTTTTAATAATTAACATTAAGGAAATGGAAAACAATTAAATGGAAAAGTGTTCAAAACTATTTTTTTGACCGGATTCAATTTCGGGTCTAATTCTTCAACTCCCTTTATTTTCTTATTTCACCCAAAGTTCACTACCCTCGTTAATTGCTGCATCTGATCAAAGACCATCAAGACCATTAGCTGGCTCTAAATAGTGAGAAAAACTGAACTCAAATATCTGCAATACACTGTCCATGTTTCCTTTTTGGTGAAGTAAGCCTTATTGTCGCAAATCAATAAAACTGTAAAAACGCTTAGACTTCAATGTTGGTAAACTCTCAATAATCACCTGGGCTCGCTTCCAACAGCTTTTTCACTTTCTCATACTGATCCTTGGAAATAAAGGTCTTCAGCTTCAGCTCAGTGAGACCAAGTTTCTCCAAAACCTGTGGTGTTATTAGCATTACCTGGGCAACTGAATTAAGATGACCACTGCGATAATCTTCCCACAATCCTTCAAGGACTTGCAATGAATTGCATTCAACTGTAATATGCAAGCTCTCTACCTCATCGTTACGCACTAGAAGATGAAGTTTACTCCACAAGTATCGTAAGATTAGATCAACTGATTCTTGAAATGATAAAATTACGTTCCAAATATCTATGTCTCGTGGATTATTTGGTCCATCTGCTCCGTCCATCTGTATGACTGATAGAAAAACAACAAAATATTAACCTGTTAATTAACCTATTAATTTGAACTCAAAAAAGAGCACTATTGGCATTTTGTAAATTTATTTCTAAAGAAAATGTGCAAGATCAAAGTAATTAAGTAAGGATCTTCGGGAAAAATCGCAACATCTGATTAACATTGAAGGGATCTGAGGATAAGGTTTTCTTATTTTGTTTGATGGAAATTTAAATTTACTCTTTTACTGACCTATGACCACGGGTCGCTGAGACCTCAGTTCCTCTCTCAGCTCCTCTCTAAGCTTTACCAATTCATCTTTAATATCCATATCTTGCTTATACCAGATCTCCAGTTCTTCAATGCATCTCTCCTCATCTGGCATCAAAGGATTACGAAGAAGATCATCAATGGACTTCTCCCACTCATCTCTCTTTGCAGGACTAATATTTGTCGCAATTCTTAACAGAGCCTCACTAATTTCCTCCCAGAGACGAATAAAATCGATGTCAGATATTTCCATAGTGGGACGGTGACCATAAATCTCATTTCGATAATATTTTATTCGTACTAAATCTGCCACCAGACTGTGGTCTGAGCCGTTTGGTAAAACATCCCATCCCCTCGGTCCAGGGGGAGGGGTCAGGCCGCAAATTGTCCTGAATAACTTGAAGATTAATGTGATGTCAAAATCGTTGGACCTGCCATACACCCCTGGGGATGGGTTCAGACAATCCCTTTCTGGTTGGGTAAGTCGTGCTCCTCTCAGCTGTGCCTGTATGGCAGGATCAGCGAGTCTCAAAGGCAGATCAGCTGGTGAATGAATGGAGTCGAACGTCTCCCGCAAAAGCTGCACACCTCCACACATCAGTAATCGTGTCAGGCGATGAAAATTTGCCCTAGGACTTGTTGATCGTAGGGCTTCTTCTGCCATGTCCTAAGTACTAAAATCGGAAATGAATATGACAAGTAAGTTGACAATTACGGGAGAGCCTTAAGGAAATTGATAACCATTAAATCAGCAGCAAGAGTTTACAGTGCTATAATGTATATATATATATATATATATATATATACATCTGTTTTCAAGAACGTTGCAATTTGGAAATATTCATGAAATATATATACCTTTTGTTTTCTCATCAAAAAGAGGTATTTTTTGATGAGAAAACAAAAGGTGTATGTATTCCATTTTTGTACTTCAAATTGCAACGTTTTTGAAGATGGGTATATCTATACACATACATATATTTATAGGTACTACTTAGGTTAACTGCCTGAGGGAAGCGTGTTAGGAATGTGAAAAAAAAGCATGTGCTAGCTCTCTGACAAGAGACTGATTATTAACACGCATGAAACAAAAAAGGCCTTCTTTTGAACCACTAAATTGCGCCTTTCCACATAACAAGCTCTATGATTGTAGTCTATCCGTGAGCCTTATTTTTTATTTCTTTATTGTATTGAGTCAGCGAAAGGTAAGAATGTTTCATCAGGCCAGATGAAGGGAGCAATTGACAAAGGAATTCCTAGTTGGTAACACACCCCACACTGGATTACTGGAATAATGATATACATTAAAAATTACGCGCGTCTGATTGCTGAAAACAAGTGCATTTTTCCCGTAACACCAGTGCAAAGTTATAAAACCACAGGCAGACCACACCGAACAAACTCTGTGAGGGTTATGAATAAAGCTCTAAAAATTGCATTTCTAAATTTCGTCTCGGTACGAATATCTCAATGAAGTTATTAAAAAAATCTTCATCGATGCATTTGTGGTATTTTTTCACCTTCTTGAGCCGTTTTTTTTACGAAATTACTTTTAGCCACATATGTTAGCGCATAGAGAGTGGTATGTTGCTCGCACCAATCAGATTGTTAAGGGTATGTATCTCGCACCAATCAGATCGCCGCATTAGGGTATGTATCTCGCACCAATCAGAGCGTCGTTTTGTTCTTTGGTTTGAGAGGTGTTCAAATTTCAACGAAGTAATGGGGGATTCGGAGAGAGCGGTTTGTAAATTGGAATCATCTTTTAGAATGAGAAATGTTAGGTTTTCTGTGTATTTAACATTTATTTTACCGCGCTTTATGAAAAATGCGATACTAAGACAGATGAAAGATATTAGATTACCTATAGTAAACGTGCCAGTCATGCTGTGAAAATGGTGGATAGTTGCTCGAGAGAAAATGGAGTCTTGTGCACTGTAGCACGATCATGGTTATTGTTTCTTCATGACAAGAGTGAGAGGAAAAATTTTGAAATAAATATTGCTTGAGGTGTTGATGAATTGCACCAAACATTTTGATTTGAGCAGTTCTTTAAGTTTCTCTCAGTTGCAAGATTGATGATTTGTTGAGTGTGCCGATTATATTTTTTCTGGATCGGTTTGCTCGGTGCTATCTCTAGATGAATGTCTCATTAAAATTAACTATGGATGATTTTGTGTATGTTTTCGATGCGTGGAGAAAGTGATCTTGTGGAGTCGTTTGTGTTTGGACAAGGACGAATTCAGACACCATCGCTTGCATGTTTATTTAATTTTGTTCTCTGAATGAAGGATTTACGGAGGTAAGTTAATATGACGTGATCTGCTAACGTCGAAAATATATCAAGTCGAAAGAAAAGTTTTGGTCTCGGTCCGCATTTTTGCAACAAAATAAACACATATCGCTTAAAGGCCCGTTTCCGACCTTGATGCAATGCGGTCGTTTGTTTTTGTTTTGAACCACCGCTTTTGTTTAAATAGCGCCACTGATTGGTCAGTTATTTTTATTGTCACGTTGTCTCAAAATAGCTTCTGCGCTCTCTCTGATGAATTTCGTGAGCTTGTCAAAATAATTCTGCTTAAAACAGTTCTATATGTTTAAATCTGGTATGGAATCAGATGAATCCATTGATTTAGTAGATTCAGCGGCAGTAAACGCTTACGGATCGGTTGTGGCTAAAGAGGAACACGAAAATCCTTGTAAGCATTCCGAGGAAGGTGAAAATGTTGATCCACCTCGTTTTCACTCATACATCATTTCTTTTTCTATTGAAGTTTGCCATCCTTGTTTAATAGGACCAAGGGTCAGTTGAAGTTTCCTGCCCGTGGAGAGGAGCTTGCACTCGAAAGAGTGGTCGAGGTTGTTGTCCATGCAAAGCAGCAAATGAGAATTGTAACGCAAACTGTCAGTGTCGTCGGCGTTCCTGCAATGAAGTGACGGTCTTAAAATAATAAACTACCGGCAGTCCGATGTTTTCCATGTTTCTCTTCGAAATCCAAAAATATTTATGCGAAAATTTTCTACCTTTATTTACAATCCTCAAGCGCTTCCAGGCAGCCTAAAATTTCGAACTTGATGTTTCTTGCAAACCTTGTATACAGAGTACGAAGCCATCCAAGCGCTTGACACTCGGAAACTTTTCAGTGACACGGCTGGACCCCAAGGTCCCCAAATAACTTCATATTTCTCTTTGAAATATACCAATTTTCCTTGGAAATATTTTAACTTCATTTACAATCCTCAAGCGCCTCTAGAAAGAGAAAAAATTCGAACGTTGTCCGTTTCGCCGACCAAATATTCAATAGTGACATCTCATTTAAATCTACATCTACTTTTATTACGTTGGTAAAATCTGCACAGACATCACACTAACCAACTCGCACACAAAGTAAGTATACTATATGAAGGCTTGAGATTATATTCAGATCGATTTTGATCAAGAAATGGGCCAGGACAATTCCACAGTAGCGCAAGTAATCGTGAAAGCTGATCGCGGAAAAGCGATTGCGTGACGCTCGGTAAGTTATAAGATGACATGTTATCACATACCAGACGAAAAAACTCTTTAGATTCTCAGTCTGCATTTTCTACCCTCTCTGCAGTCTGCAGTCCACATTTTGTATCTAGTCTACATTTTGTATCCGGTCTGCGGTCTGCAGTCTGCATTTTGTACTAACAGGTATACGTGGCACCAATACAGCTTATTTTTGCGTACAGTTATTCGCACAACACACGCAATCTACCACAAAATACCTGTGTGCGAATCTACATTTTTTCGACATTTTCGTTCTTTTCCGCGTTAATACTCTTCTTTCCTTTTGTAAAAATGTAGACATCACTTACAATTTTTCAAGTAATCCACCCACCCCCCAAAAAATAATTGTTGCATGCAAAGCATGCCTATGTTTTTTCTAAGTGAGACCGGTAAGAAATCTGATTGCTTGTTTTGTTTTAGTATGGATTTCTTTAAATCGGTGTCTACATAGTTTTCAAATTCTTCCAATGCACAAGTTATGGCCATATGCCACGAAATTTCACAAACCATTCAAGTTTGCCCGCCGTTCAATAGTTACAGAGATTGATAATGTCGGGTATCCTGTGCGATGTTTAGTATCATCTTTGAATAATCATAAATTGCTTCAATTTCTTCAACATTCCAGAACCCCATTATTTGTTATTTTTCACTTTCCCATTACTTCTAATTCTATGAAACATTCTCGCCTCTCGAAACGAAGGAGTCAAACCAGTGATGATGATTGGCAACAAAGTTTATTGAACGTGGTTGCTATGGTATCTTTTCATTATGAAAAAGTTGTTCGCGTGTTATAGCGATTACCGTAATTTCCGGTCGTTTACCCGCACGGCCGATTACCCGCACCGGCCGATTATTGCATACGGCGAAAAAAAAAGTCAACAGATTACCCGCACTGGTGGATAACCCGCACGTTATGTTATTCAACTTTTTGGTGGCGAAAACGTGACATTAAGGTGATACATTTCAGTCTTTTAAAAGTTGTCTAATCCAACTTTCGAAAACTTGAAAGCGTCTTTATCGAGTTTAAAGGTCAAAGAAATTCAGACGCGTGCACAATTCTGTGTCAATATTAGCATGTACTTTATTGATAAAATTATACAGTAAAAACACTAGCGGCCCATGCCCAAATCTCAATGTTTCATTCTTGACAGAATGCAAATTTGTGGCCACATTTTGTGCGAGCGATCGTTCAGCGCCATGTTGGTTTGTTGAAAAAAAGCTGGGTGACTGTTAAAACTTGAATTATAAAGTACTGTCGGCGATTTCTGAAAAAAATCGATATCTCCGGTTCTATTGGGCCTAACAAGTCCCTTAAAACGGGAAAATTCTCTTTAGCTCAAGCTAGTGTTAATTGAAATTTGTTACTGATGCGCCGGACATCTTTGGATTATTTTTGTCACCATCAAGGTTTTGTTTTCACGCGTGCCGATAGCAGTTTGTTCGTCGCGCAACTAATTATGCGTGAAATAAACTCGAGTCGGCATCATGTTTTCGTGCCGCTTTGAGGCACTCTAAATACAATAAAATTCATTTGAGAGGTGGAAACGCATGTTGGTGATAATTTTTTTCAATTCAACTACCACTAGATTTTAAAATTGTCACATAACCCGCACCTCCCTATTACCCGCAGTGGCGCGCGTTTAATGCAAAATCAACAGATTACCCGCGTGTAAACGACCGGAAATTACGGTACGTCTACATGATCAATCGATAAAATCGCTGCATTTGTCTTCTCCTGGTATCAAGTTACATTTCTCAAAGTATTATTTGATGAGGAATAGCAAAGAAAAGTCGGCAACGAAAAGCAGCTCTTCGCTGAGCTTTGCCCGTTGGTTGCAGTATTTCTGTAACGTGTACAGTTGCTGTGCACTGATGTTTTGTTTCGATTCTGTTTGTTGACTTTCTTTAATCCGGGTCACGAAGCATGACACCGGAAGGGAATTAATAGCAGAACAGACTTTCGTGTTATTTAAGTTGTCGTTGAAAGCCATTGCTAGCGTATTTCCAAAGAATTTAAGACTAGTTTGGTAAACAAAATCTTGTCACAGAGAACCGACTTTTGTAGACATGAATTTGATAGGGCGTTTGGGCTCCTCTCCGACATCAAACATGAAAACTTTCCTGCATGA